TTCCCTGCAGAAGGCCTCGGGCCAGCCAACCAGAACCCAGAGACTTTCCACACCAACAGAGAAAAAGCGCACTACTTTATAATTCAGGATATTATGTGGCATTCTTTCGATTATATAGTTGAGATGCAATTTTATAAAAATATTCTTTAGCATAAATCACATTTTCTAAAAATTAAATCAGGAAATACCATTTTGGTCTTTGTGTCTTATATTCTAACAACAGCAGAAAAATGATCTAATGTATACCCCTCAGTATTTGGAGTTTTAACTAAAGGGGTGTCAAAATCCTTGAATATTATATTTTCAAACTATTGCATTAGCCCCATGGGGGGGGCTAGGTTCTCTAGCTACCTTAACTGTAGGCACATGGTCTTGCAAATCATTACCAGCTTGGGGGACTAATATAAGAGAACACTTTCCATACTGTAAGAGACTATGGAGACGCTGAAGATACTGTGGCATGGTGTAGACTGAGGTACCCTAGAGATGGAGCCAAAGTTAAAGGTTTTGCCTGCTGGGTAGCTGAAGGAAAAGCTGACTTGCAACTGCTCTGTACGATAAAGTTTTCTAGAATATTGAGGAAACTAAAGGTGCATTTGTGCTGCCGAACTGAATAAGTGAAGCATTGTGCCTTGTTACACCGGCCTGCAACTGCTGGATTAAACCTGGACTTGCATTGTGTGGTGCTCTTTGTCTCCTTACATCCCAACTATTTCTCTAAAAACTCCAGAATTGTAAGTAAAAGCCTGTGAATCAATTTCCAATGAACATTGGACCCAATGAGTGACAGAAATAGGTGGAGAGTAAGGTCATACATATGTGGACAAAGCTGGATGTGACTCCTTAGGGTGGTGAGGAACAGCTTGTGTAACAACCCTGAGAAAAACAGAGAATGCTTTATGAGCACAGATGGCTGTCCTTTCCATGAACTGTACATGGCCTTCCCTTGAAGGAAGCCTAAATAGTGATACAAGATACTCTGGTATGTTGTGAGAACTGTATCAGTATGTAGCTATCTGGTGTGGCCTTGGTGATTTGTTTGATTCTGAAGGTGTTTCTGAAACGGAGAATACTAAAAGAGCATATTAAAAATAATAAACTAGGTTCTTCTCCACTGAGAAGCAACTCCCTAGTTGCCCAGGTTTAGCTCTGTCTTCACTTCATGACTGCACACAGTGGAGCATGGCAGGTGGCATATCTGACCTTGTAGTGGTCTATATGGTGCTACAGATGTTATTGATGGGAAATTTCCCCTTTTTGAAGTGGATAAAAGACAAACTTGGCCCCCTTCACGTTGTATATGTTACCTTTACATTTAGCCCTTTGGTCATTTCTTTTTTTAATTGTTTTGCTTACAAGGTTCATATATATTGTTTTTCACACTATTCTTCATAACTTCTGTTTACTCATTCAGTCGCTTTGCTGGATAAATGTCTAGAGACAGTGAGAAACATAAATAAGATCTCTGTCTGATCAGAACCTTTTTTGAGTGGCTTAATAAAACTGTGAAAAAGACACAGATGATCTTGAAATATTTACATAGTGAACTGACTCAGTCTCATAAAGACAAATTCTGTATAAGACCATTCTTGTATAAGGAGTATGAGGATCCATTGGGAGGGAGTCTTAATCATAAGGGAAAGATCTCATGTGAAAACAATGTATACGGATTTTGTAAGTAAACCAGTATAACATTTTAAATATTTGCATTAAAATGACTAAATATTAACATTTAGTCATTTTCTAGGAAAGGTGAGCATAAACATAACACCACTATCTTTATAACAATCTCATCTGCATATTATAAGTGGCTATACTCAGGAATCATTGGATTGGTATCTGTTTGTGTAAAATTGTAGATGAATCAATTGACCAACAAATATGTATATGTCTAGAGTTTTGTTCAGCACATGTCTAGATTATATGCCTTATCTATTAAGATTCTCTGAGCTATTTAAGTCTTGATACTTTTAAAGGAAGGTGGTGTGTCTTCACATTGTCTGGAAGGCCCAGGGAAGGCACTGTGGAACACAACTAAGAGCATTTTTATGATGTTCATACAACCAATGAAGAAGATCTGGTACTCAGAGCTAGACGATTCCAAGTTCAATGAGGAAACTGGGGTGGAGGGCATCTTCAAAACAAATTTATCTTAACATTTAAACAGAAAAATTACAGGGGTGTGTGTGTGTGTGTGTGTGTGTGTGTATGAGAGAGAAAAAGAGAGAGAGAGAGAGAGAGAGAGAGAGAGAGAGAGATCAAGTGTAGAAGTTAGGAGATGTAGAAAATAGAAGAAACGGCAGGAAAGTAAAAAAACTAAGAAATAACTTTTAAAAAATTGTAGTCAATAATTTTAGAGCTCATTTTGAAAAGAAAATAGAACAATTAGGGAGTTTATTTCTAATGTCATTGAGACACAGCAATAGAAACACAGTCTCAATTACTTTATACCTAGAAGAAAAAAATAGTGGTCTGAGTCCTGTTTCCCTTGAAATTCCATGACTGTGTTTCTCTAGAGGGCGCTCTAGTAGCACGGTCCATAGGAAGATTCACTACTAACCCAAAGGTGGCTCTTTTCAAGCATTGGATTTCACCATTGGCCCTGAAGGAGAAATATGGGCAAACTCCTCCAGTGTGTTATATAGCTTCTGAAAACCCGTTGGAGGGCTAGTTATGAGTCAGTTGCAATTCAACAGAAATGAGTTAGAGTTAAGATAGTTCTTAATATCAAAAGTACAGATCTAGAAAGATGAAAGCTTGGGAAATCCGGAAGCTTGGTGGTAAGAAGGGTCACTGCAATCCCAAAGGCATATTGTTTGAAAGGAGCATGGAAGAAAGATGGGCAGTCTCTTCTGGTGTGATTTACTCTCTGAAAATCTACTGGTGGGTGAGCTGTGGATTAATTCTGACTTGACAGCACACACCAACCAACCAAATATGGGTAAGTGGGACAAAATTATTGATACTCATTTCTTCCTCGACTCAGAGACACCAGTTGGTCAAATTTGTGGAACGGCCTTCTACCCTCTCAGTTACCAGCAGCAAAGACTACTAGAAAATATAAGGACCAGATAAAACAATTACATCAAAATTACACAGCAGTTTCTGAAAATAAATTGAAACTATACCTCACAAAAGTAACTCCAGATCAACTTACAAACAAGGTGTCTTATAAAGTAGAAGATTTAAATAGTACCAAGAGTTTTCTCACTTAAAACACAAAATATCCAGCCATTATTCCACTTTTAAGAAAAACACAATTTAAGTGAGAAAAAAAAATTAACACAAAGAACAGCCTGTAACAGAGGCTGGAAATAATGGACAAGTATCCATCATGAAAACCATTCAAGTAGCAATTACAAAATACCTGGGCACAAGTAACAACAATAATATAAATATATTAAAAAGAGTAAAGTGAACATTACAGAGTTGAAATATGCTACTGCAACAAAAAATCTACACACTCATATCAGATACTTCATTTGACCTATAATCACAAAAATAAAATCCACATGACAGTCTGAAAATAATCACAATATCTAATAAGAGAAATAACATTACACTTAAAATCCACTTTCAGAAATTCTGTTGGATCTTGTCTCACTTACTCAGAACACACTATTCTATGAAAGTGATTACAAAGGACTTGTTAACACTATGAAACAATAATTCATACAAAATACAAATATTAAGTGAGAAAAAAATTAGAATTGAGTACAATGACAACCTTAATAGTGGATAGACTAGGCCAACTTTCTTTAGTTTTCTGTTATATCTTACAAACCCCTCATTTACTTCTAGGGATAGCTCCTTGAAGAAGATTCTTGAGAGTTATTAGTGCATTTTAAAAACTCAGCTGCATGCAACAATAAATAAAGGAATATCTAACTTTTCTGTAAACTTCCATGAAAATAACAATTAATATTAAAAAATTATTAAAAACCAAAAATTCAGCAACAACACTTTTGTAAGGAAAACAATGATTTTAGATAGATAAGTAGGTAGATAGATAGATGATAAATAGATAAATATGAATAATAATGTTGTTGTTTGTTGTTATGTGCCATTGAGTTGCATGCAACTCACAGCAACGCTATGTTCAACAGCTCTGAACCCTGCCCTATCTTGAGCCTGTCTCACTGTCTCCAACATAGCTGCCCCCCTTACTGCAGCTACTATGTCAATCCATCTCATCGAGTGTCTTCCTCTCCTGCTCTGTCCCTCCACCCTTCCAAGCATGACGTCCTTCTCCAAGGACTGGTTCATGGTAAGTTAAACAAAACACTCTTCTCCAGCACCACAGAGAAAAATATGTTCTACTTTTCATTCATTAATTAAAATATAATTTATATTCAACTCATTGTCATCAATTGAAATCAACTCATAGCTAGTTCACTCTCCATTGGGTTTCCAAGGCTGTAAATCACAATGGAAGGAAGGGTACCCATTTTTCTCCCAAACGTCCCTGGTGAATTCACACTATCAGAGAAGTGTGACCCTTGGGTTAGCAACATAGCTCCCTACAGACTATCACTAGAGCATAACAGAAAAATTTTATTTATATATACAAACAAGGGCTCTGGTGACCCGGTGGTAAAGACTTGGGCTGACAATCCAAAGGCTGTGAGCTTGAACTACCATTTACTACTTAAGAGAAAGATGGAAAACCTCTTCCCACATAACACATTTAGAATCATTAAAAATTCATGAATTTATAAGGCTGTAATGAATATATCATACTAGCAAGCATACTGAGAACACACATTCTGATCAAAGAGTAAGTTTGATTATCACATTCCCAGTCCTAGGAAATGTGATTTTGTATAACATTTTAAAAGTAAATATTTACTTTTATTTTAGTCATAAAACTTGTTAGGTAAGAAAGATGATATTAAAAGTAAAATAAATTATAAGTTATATATACTTGAAAATAGAAAATGAAGCATAACATACCATTTTTATAAAAATTAGTTTTAAAAGAATTCAGAAGACCACTTTACCTGACCATATTTTGCAGCTAAATGAAGAGGAGTCCAGTACTGGTTATCTACTATATTGAGGTCACCACCATGTTCCAGAATAAGAGACACCACCTCCTTGTAGCCACTTGCACATGCCATATGTAACTACAAAAAGACAGAGCTTGTTATTTCATCTAAAAACAAACACTGGTGCCAGTACTTTTTATTTAGTGATTTAAAGAGAGATAGCATATAAAATATTAAAAAATTATTGCTACTGTTAAGTGCTGTTGAGTTAACTAAGAATTATAGTAACCCTATGAATGATGGATCTGAACCATGCCTTATCTTCTGCTATCTTCATTACTCCTGCCACGCTTGAGCCCATTGTTACAGCCACTGTGTCAATCTAGCTCACTGAGGATCTTCTCTTCCTTTGCTTACCCTCCACTTTTCCAGGCATGATGTTCTTTTTCAAGGACTAGGGCCTCCTAAAAACACACTCAAATTATATGAAATGAAGGTTCACCATATTTCCCTTTATGGAGCACCCTGGCAACACCCTTAACAAGACATATTTGTTTGTTTTCCATGAGCTATTTAGTTCCCTTCTCCAGTACCACAACTGGTTAGAATCCACTAGCTTTTCTGCAGGAGAAAGAACAATCTCTTCCTGTGTTATTTACAGCCAATGAAAACTGTTGGAGGATCAGTTACAAGTTGGTTCTGACTCAGCAGTATATAACAACAATAAAATTAAAATCTAGAAGGTATAAAATAAAAGAAACACACTTTAATTTTTCTATACGTAGATGTCATATACTTGGAAAAAAAATCAGGGTTATGTAAGTATGGATTGTATGGGTTTTTGTTTTGTTTTGGCTTGTGATTTTTTGGTTTTTTTTTACCTAATTGATAATGTACACTTTTCTCACGTAGTTGCTATCATCTGCTATCCACTGCAGTCTGAATACTCATAAATATAATATGAACTATTTCAATTTAGAATCGTATTTACAAATTATTATCCTAATGTTAAACAATAACAAACCTGCTCTAAAATTTCAGTGTACTTTGTATCATAACAGATGACTCAAAGAAAAAGTATCAAAAACTGGGATAACTATTGAGCTTTGATCTGTATTTATAAGGGACAAGAATACTTGAGAGGATCAATCAGCCTTGTCAGGTTTAACAGGGTTTTGTGGCCAGGGTTTTGGGGGACACAACTCTCACGTACTCTTTTCCTGATGGTAAACAATGCAGTATTCTAATCTAAACTGATAACTGCTACTTGCTTTGTGTACAGGTTTAGCATTATAAGAATTAAATATTCTGGAACTCCCATTCTTCCCAATATTATACATAATTCATTGAATTCACACAGTAAAATGCATTTGCATACTCAAATATTTCTGGTCCTCTGTTCTCTCAGAACACTATAAGTAGTGTGTAAGTTTTTGGAAAAGGGGCCGAAAAATCAGAACTATGAAAGACACTATATTTCCCCCAAGCTACCATAGCTTTCTGGATATTTGTCTGCTTGATAACTTTATAGTTTGCCCTTGTGGGTACAGCACTTGTTTGTCAGTTTACTGTACTATGATAATTTGTGTGTTGTGTTGATGCTGCTGCTGGTCCTTCAGATAATGAGAAATAATGGCTCAGAAAAGCCAGATAATGGGCTCTGGTATTAGACTAAAAGTTGAGTTTTGTTTTAAGCCACTTAGCTCTGGTCTCCAGTCACCTTAACTGCAGATAGACGGTCTTAAAAATTAGCATCAGCTGTAAGACTAGGATAAGAGAAATAATGCTTCCCACACAGGGCAGCAAGACTTGAAGCAGGCAAGTGAGGCTTGTGCTGGCAAGACACTTTTGAGAGTGAGACCCTGGTCGTAGAGAGAATGTGGCATTGCTGTAGACAAATGTTGTGAAAGTGTGACCTTGAGGCTTCTGGCATTTGTGCTGGCCACAGTTAAAGGTTTGGCTATTCTTGCTAGATGTTTGAAGGAGAAGCTGATATAAAATTCTCTGAGGCAAACCTTGCTGGTTGATTAGGTCATACTACTCTAAGTCAAATCTTGCTGGATGATTTGGATTTGACTGTAAACTGAAACTGGAGCCTGGAATTATTGAGGAATTGTACCTTGGGACTAATTGGCTAGAACTTCTATTTTCTATAATTCAAGTATATTCACCAAAATGAAAAACTGAGAATTTCCAACAACTTTTGTGTATTCCCTCCATCTTCTTTTGATATTTCCAGAATAATCTAAAATGTTTTCATAGTATCTATAAGTATTACAACTCAAGTCCTGAGGTAGTTTTTAATTTCTTCAGCTTGAAAAATGTTGAGTGAGTTCTTCCCTTCTTATTCACCGATTCTCAGTCTCTGTATTCCATTATAGTAATTTCTTCTCTCTTCTCAAACTGTCTTTGAAATCTTCTGGTCAGCTCTTTAACTTCAATATCTCTTCCCTTTATTTTGGCTTCCTGATGCTCCAGTGCATTTTTAAGCATATCTTCTCATATCCATTTTGGTGGTTTCTTTCTCCTCTCTCTTTGTAGTGACCTTTTGCTCTTTTCATGGATGATATCCCATAATTCATCTTGTCATCAATCATGGGTGTCCAATGCAGCAAAAAAAATTGTTAAGATAATTTTTAAATTCAGGTGGGATAGACCCAATGTTATATTTTGGTTCTCATGGATTTGTCTTCATATTCTTCAGCCTCTATTAGAACTTGCACTTGAGTACCTGGTAATCTTTTCCTCAGTCAGCAACTGAACTGGTTTTGACTGCTGATACTGACTTTCCCCAATTCTTTCCGCAGATGTAGTCATCCTGATTTTTATGCAATCCACCTGCTGAAGTCAATGTGTAAATCTGTCACTGTATTTTATAAAAAATATATCTATGATGAATAAATCATTGAACATACAAAATTCAATCATTCTATTTCCAGCCTCATTTCTGTTACCAAGTTCATACTTCTGACTCTCCTTCCTTCTTAATTGTTTCTAATTTTTGCATTACAGTCACCAAATATCATTAGCACATCTTTATTGCATTTTTGGTCAATATCATTCTGCAAAATGTGGTAAAAGTCTTCAATTCATCCTCTATGGCTTTAGCATGTCATATGTATAGTTGTAGTCATATTAACAGTTCTTCCTTGTATGTATATGGATAATATCCCATCATTCACAACTTTGTACTTCAGGACAAAACTTGAAATTAAGTGATTCAGGAAGATTAATAAGAAGATAGAAGGATTACACAGAATCACAGTAGCAAAAAGGATTTGCTGACACTGAAATATTTCAGGAAATACTCTATGAACAAGAACGATGTTAATGAAGGAAAACGCTCAAGTTGCACTGATTGCATTCACAAAAAATAATGTTCCTGAAATCAATGGGATACCAACTGATACGTTTTAAATTATAGCTGCTGCCCTGAAGAAGAATTAATGCCTCTGAAGTGTGGTAGAGAAGAAGAGCACTTAATATCCCATGGACTGCCAAAGAACACGCAGATATATCCTGGAAAATGCACATTCAGAGTATCCAATGGAGGCAAAAACAGTGAAACTTACATATTTCGTGTATATTGTTACAAGAGGCTATACCTTGGACAGGTATATCATGTTTAGAAATGTGGAGAGCTAGCAAAAGAGATCTTCAGCTTTGTGGAATGACAGCAGCAATGGGGTCAAGTGTGTCTGAGATTGTAAGAATGACAGAGGATACAACAGGATCAGCAATGGGGTCAAGTGTGCCTGAGATTGTAAGAATGACACAGGATACAACAGCGTTCAGATCTCTTGTTCATAGGGTTCCGAAGAGGCGTACTTGCCTTTATGACACATAACAACAACCAACTTTTATAATGGACATTGATCCAAGAATATATTAATTATAATTACTGGCTGGAATGAAAATGTTAAACACAAAAAAGATTATGATATTAAATAGGCTTGAATTTATTTCATAAAAGTATTTATGAAATAAATTCCTTTTCAGAAAATAAATTTAAAGCAACAAAATAATCACAGAAATTTTAGCATGTGATTTTGTAGCTCTCATTTTTTCTGGTTTGTTTTTTTTTTATCTCATAGGCACAATTAAAATAAAAGAAAAACTCTTACTAAAATGCACCATTACCATTTAGTTGTAGTTTTTTGTGTCTTAAAGTTTCTTTCGACTCATATTGGAGTAGCAGTGCCCCATAGAGTTTTCTGGGTAGTTTACTAGTACAGAAGCCGATCATTGTGCCTTTCCCCCATTGTCACAGCTCAAACTTCCAAATCTTGATTAGTGGCACAGAATTTAAACACAAGGGCACCTCCAGTACCACACAAAAAAGGTGACATACTAAATTTCAAGGAGTTAATTTATTAACTATTTCCACATTAGAATCTTAAACTACAATTAGAAATAAAAAGCCAAGGATTTGTCTATTTAAGTAGAACTGAAAACTTGAGAAAATAAAACTTACTATCATGAAGTTGATTCCAACTCTTAGGAATCCTATAGGGAAAAGTTGCTGTTGTTGATTGCAATCAAGTTGAGCACTACTCATAGCTACCCTATGAACAAAAGGCCTGAAGCCTTTCTATAACTATTGTCATTTACCAAATTTCATAGAGTTTTCAGAGGTTGTTTGGGAAGTGGATGCCACTCAAACTGTCCAATGAAGTTTCAAAGTTGTAAATATTTACAGAAGTGGACCATCACCTCTTTTTCCTAAGCAGCTAGTGGGTTCAATCCACTGACCTTTCAATCAGCACCCAGTGCTTTAAACTTCACTGCACTAACACAAATATAGATGCTTATAAAAAGACTACTAATAGAACAGTATTTTTTTAATCTTTGATAATCCTAGAGGACATATTACCCATCAGTGCCTTTAGATGCCACCTAACTTAATCAGTCATGTGTAAGAGAGTACACATTTTAAGATTTTCAGTCTTGCTATGTGAAGAAAAGAGTCATAGTGGCTCCATGGTTCAATTTTCATTTATTAATAAAAAAAGTTAGAGGTTGGAAATGACCCAGAATCTAGGCAGGAGAAAAACTTGATGACTTGCTCCCTTAAATATTAAAGCCTAAAAAACACAATGGGGCAGTTCTGACCTATCATACAAGGTTGCTACGCATCT